GGAGATGCACAGATACAATGATCACGTTATCTAAACCCACAATCAGGCACAGGATCTATCTAACAAAGGGTGCTTGTGCTTTATTTCCAGATGTACACAGCAACTTGGTTAATGCAGTTTTAGTGCCTAAAGGTTAGCATTTCTGGGACATTTTTATGTTCTAAGAGGAAATCAGAAAACATAACTATTTGAATTCATAAAAATCTGGGCGGTGATTATAATACTGGAGCAAAATGACAATACCAGTATTTCTGTATTTAATATTTTATAAGAAAAGGATTCAGAATCCATAAAAAGAAATGGGTGAAAGTAAATATTTAATATATTTTAAATATATAAATGTATCATCATCATGTAAAATGCAAAAAATACAACCTAAATATTATTATCCTATTAATAATTACTGGAAAGAATTTTAAAACATAGGTATTAAAAAACTAAACATTCTCAAAAATGAGAAAACATTAAGTCCTGAGCGCTGGCAAGTGTGGCTCAGTTGGTCGGAGGATCATCCCGTGACTGAAGGGTTGTGGGTTTGATTCTCAGTCAGCCCACATACCTAGGTTGCCCATTCGATCCCAGTCTGGGTGTGTACAGGAGGCAACCAATTGATGTTTCTCTCTCACATTAATGTTTCTCTCTCTCCCTTCCTCTCTCTCTAAAAGTAATGAAAAGAAAAGTGTTCTCAGGTGAGGATTAAAAAAAAATAAGTCATAAAAAATTTAAAATAAGACTATTGTATCTGAACCTTTATAAAGAAGTTTCTTAAAGTGCATAAACATTATTGTCATTGAATTGAGAACACAATTTGGTGCAAATTTCTTCACTGCTAAAAAAAACAAACACAAAAACAAAACAGTAGTCAGGACAGTGGTGGTGTCTTTATGGACTATCTCCAAATATTTTTCTCTCACTTCTTCATCTTCAAATAATCAGAACTCTCATTTGATAAACATGAGGAGGAATATTTTACATATAATTTTTATTGGGGAATGGGTAGGAGAAAGGAGTAGGAAAGAAATAAATTCATTGACCGCGAGCCTTAGTTTGCTTGAAAGCAAGAAGCAAGCATTTTCCATTTGTTTGCCTCTTCTTTAGTCTCTTCATATATGATGGTGATCCCAATGCCCAGCTGCCTGTATTCAAAATTCTCTGTTACAGTAGGCACACCCTTAGGTGACCCTCAGTCAGTCACACCCTCACATAATATTCTCCCCGTGAGTGCAGCCACAACCCCTGACTTGTCTCTAGCCAATAGAATACAGCAACACCAAAAGGATAGTGGCTCCCTGGATTAAGTCACCTTATGGAAGACTCCATCTTAGCAGGATGGAATGAGAGATTCTCCTGCTGGTCACATGGAAAGAAATGTGCTCAACACCTAGCAGATGAGAACGCCCCAGGTGGCAGCTGGCAAGAAAACAGGGGACCGCAGTCCTACAACCCCACCTTAATTCTGCTAATAACCCCATGTGCTTAGAAAGAAAAACAAAAACAAAAAATAAACCCTGAGCTTCAGAAAGAAACACAGCCCAGCCAAAATCTTGATTGCATCTTTGTGAGACCTTAAGCAGAGGATGCAGCTAAAGCTGTAGTCAGATTCCTGATCCATAGAAACTGTGGGATAATATTTAATTACACGTTGTTTCAAGTCACTCAATTTGTGGTCATTTGTTATGCTGCAATATATAACCAATGGACATGTCATCATCCACTTTGTACGCCAATAACAATTTTTCTTGCAAAAAGGTTTATGTTGCCAGTTGTTATATTCTTCCTCCTTTTGAGGGCTACCGAAATATAGCAGAATGCTTTATAGATATGCACACTTCCATCAAAATCAACAATTTAATGGAGAATATAATTCTCCATGTAAGTGTCTTAGCACATAAATGAGTTCAACAATTTTCAAAACACTATTACTTCATAGCTGCTTGAAAATTGGAGAGTATACCTCCAAACCAGTGTTTAAAAAGTGCGTACTTCATTATTTTTTAAATAAACTTTTGCTTTGTAAAAAGTTTTAGATTTAGAGAATTATTGTGAAGACAGTACAGCATTCTTGCACAACCCACACCCAGTTTCCACTATGAATATTTTACATTATGTAGTACATTTTTCACAATTAATGACCCAATATTGCGACATTATTATCAACTACACTCCTTACTTTATTCATATGTCCTTGTTTTTTACCTAATGCCTTTTTCCTGTTCCAGGATCTCGTCCAGGATACCACATAATATTTAGTTATGACACCTTAGGCTTCTCTTGGTTGTGTAGTTTCTCAGACTTCCTTTGTGTTTGGATGACCTTGACAGGTTTGAGGACTACTGGCCAGGTCTGATTTATAGGAATCCCTCTATTAGAATTTATCTTATATTTTTCTCATGATTAGACTGGAGTTACGTGCCTTGGAGAGAAAGACCACGGAGACAAAGTGCCATTGTCATCGCATCATATGAAGTATACCTGCTATCAGTACAACATAGCACTGTCGATGTTGACCTTGGTCACCTAGTTCAAGGCAGTGTTTGGCAGATTACCTATCGTCAGGTTCTCTTTTTTTCCTCTCTTTCTATACTGTACTCTCTGAAAAAAAAGTCACTATGTGCAGCCCCCTTTGGGAGTTATGCTTTCTCTCCTAAAAACCAGAGTATTCCACATACATTACTTGGAATTCTGCATGGGAGAGTTCTCTAGTCTCCTCAAATATTTATCCAATCATTTACTTATATCAGTACAGATATTTATACTATACTTTGGGTTATATCCCAATACTAATTTATTTATTTCATTGCTCAAATTGTTCCAGCTTTGGCCACTGGGAGCACTTTCTATCCTGTTGACTCACTTTGTGTCACATTCACCACGGTGAATGGTCTTTTTTGGTTCTTCTTTTAACGCTTCCTTATTTTCTGGCACTATAGAAAGTTCCAGGCTCAGTTTGCATATTTCTTGCCACAATCTTAAATCAGCCATTTCTCCAAAGAGCTCTGGTTCCTTTTATTAGGAAATAGTCATTGGAAGCCAAGACTTGGGTAGTAGGCTGTGTTTATTGTTCTGGGAGTGTCATTGCTTCTAGGCCAAACCAGTTTTTCAATCTCTTAATATGGGACCTTGGAGTGTCTCTGTACGCTTAATTTATTTTAATTTATTCAACAATTTTTTTAGATGAAAATAGAAATTTAATCAGTCATTTAATTGAAAGTTCCAAGGATCTTCCTAGGGTTTAGAATGATAAAACCAGTGATTGGTTGTTTTTTTAAATTTTTAAGTAATGTTTATTCTATTACAGTTGTCTAAATTTTTCTGCCTTTGCCCTCCTCCACCCATCCCACCCTGCCCCCCCCCCGCCCACAGTCAATTCCCAATCTGTTGTCCATGTCCATGGGTTAGTCATACATGTTCTTTGTCTAGTCCCTTCCTCTTCTTTCCACAGTTGTCCTTCCCCATCCCCTCTGGTCACTTGAGAATGACCTGCTCCATGTTTCCATGCCTGTGGTTCATTTGTTCATTAGTTTATTTTGTTGAATAGATTCCACTTATAGGTGAGATCATATGGTGTTTGTCTTTGACCAACTAGCTTATTTCACTTAGCATAATATTCTCCAGTTCCATCCATGTTATCACAAAAGGTAGGAGTTCCTTCTTTCTTTTCCTTTTCTTTAAATGCAGATTGATTTTATTTATTTATTTTTTAAATGTCAAGATCCATTATAAAATATTAAAACATTTAAACCCATTATAAAATCTTAGCAATTAAAACAACATGACACCAACACAGAAATAATCAAGGAGATCAATGAAATAAAATGAGCATTCTAGAAACAAACATATATCTCTAACAATGTAATATATGATTAAATTAATATTTCAAATCAATGGGGAAAATAAGGTTTATTCAACAAATAAGGTGCATGGACCACTATTACTTGAAATAAAACAAATATAGAGCCCTATTTCACACATTATACAAAAAATATTCGGGTGAGTTAAAAATCAATATGTAAAATCTAAGGAGTTTTAGGAGAAAATACAAAATAATATTTTTCTTACCCTGAATATTTTTATAGACATTATTATTTCATAGTCATTAATAAAACATTTTGAAAATATTAATTCACTTAATCCTTGTAATAACTTCATAACAAGAAGATAAGTAGTATTACTAGCCCCATTTTACAGACAGAAAAACAAAGGCACTGAGTGATTGGACATGTGCACAAAATCATGCAGCTAGTAAGTGGAGTGGAAGGGCCGGGAATTGACCTGAAGCATCTTCAGATTAGGGGCACTAACCATTGTACCACATGGTCTCATGGTGGTGAGGACCTCATGAAGCATAAAGTTGATGAATTAATTAATCCACTTATTTATTCTCCAACAACTATCTATCATGTGCTCATTAGGTGCCAAACTCTCTACTAGATGTTAATTGTTGCTTAATGCAATTTAAGGTATTTCTTGGGTTATGTCTCAATTTAGAGTAAGGGAAGAGGCTGCTGTAATGTGCCTCTTGAGAGGACTCTGTAAGCCACCTGGGATGAAGCGGATACATACACAATGACAGATGATTACTAGAATTAGTGGGGTGATCACATTGTAAAGTATAAAAATGTCAAATCACTGTATCAAACACCTGAAGTGAATATAACCAATATAAGATTCTATACCAACTATACTAAAATAAAAAATAAATTAATGAAATTAAAAATAAAATCCATTCCACTCAGTGGCTGCAAATATGCTTTATTATGCTACAGGTAACAATCAAGGGTGATGGGCAGTGCTTTATTTATTTCCATCCTATCCATTACCCTTTCCACAGATTTTCAAAAGGAGCTTTAATATCTTTTCCTTTCTAGGAAGCTCACATTCATTATGCTATTATTCACTGATAAAATATTTTAATGAAAGTCTCTGTTGTGAAAACCACGGAATGAAACTGCAATTTCCATTTACAACTGATTAAAGGAAAAATTAAGATTTACACTTACTTTTGACTGTCACAAGTGAGTTGTTTGAAGAGACCAAAGTTGAGATGATCTAAAAGAAAACAGACAAAATGACCCTGCTGAATAGAAATAGAGTAAGGGACTGTAAGGCCATTATCCCCACCTGTTAAAGTGGGTGTGAGTTGTCAGTAACACCTTTGGGAAAGGTAGGCTAGAGATGGGGCTCTGCAGAAAGGACTTAAGAAGGAAGACTTTTTTGATATTTATAAAACTCATCTACTCTATTTATTGACTTCTTGTTGATATTTATAAACTCCTTGGAATAGGATACAGATTCAAGGAAAGCATCAGTCAAGAACATGGGCCTTTATTTGTCAGTTCAGAGCCAGTACCGAATGAGCTGCCTTCAGGATGAACCAAAGCTTAGGGACATTCCAAAAAGAATTAGCAGACACAGTACCCTAATGCTACAATGAGAAATCACAATAACAGAGGCCAATGAATGGAAACAGTGTATTGGTTTGATTCACAGGTCAGGAAAAAGGGATGATCAAAGGCGTTAGCCTGTGCAGAGCCTCACCGAGTGTGTCTGATTGAGCAGGATTCCTGGAAGGGGGTGTGATCTATTCAACTGCATCGTCAATGCACATGGCAAGGACGATGATCTCTCAGATATTGTTTCTGGCATCTATAACCTCTCTTCAAGAAAAGTGCATTTTGGTACCTCTGGGAGCACCAGTCTAGACAATATAATTAGTTTATCTAATACAGTTTTAAAACTATCAGCAGGATCAAAGCCCTCCTGGAAAATCTGTTTTAAAAAAAAAATCTCAATCCATATCATTGAATTATTGAATTCTTAAATATCAGAGTGTCACTTTTATTTGGAATAAAATACCAAGACATGTACAACTATTTGGGTTTTTTGATATCCTCTCTTTTTATTAACAGAAGTCAATTGTAATAATTCAAGAAGAAAAGGTCCTTGAACTGACATGTTAGAAAAAAATGTAACATTCTTCCAATTTCTGGGTATTTGATGATGTACCAGTCACTGCAAAATGCATCTCAGCCAATACAGCCAAGATTCATATCCTTCTAAGCATTTAACAGAGAATGGAATACAGTTAAAGCAGAACTAAAAAGCCTTACCAAAAGTTAAGAAATTTGTCCCTTTGCACATAGACTACAGGCAATACATTTCAATGATAAGAACCTCAAGCCAGTTATTTAACTTCTGGATGTTCCACAAATGATAGTTACTATGGTATTTTTAGTTATAGCAATGTAAGAATTCTAATCTAAGATATCTTATTTTCTTCTCACTCATAATAACCTGTTCATTTTAATAATACAGATATTTAGAAGAGATTTTGGCTTAAAAAATATAATCTTTCCCCATGATTTTTTAGCTGAAAAGAAGATCTGTGAAATGACTTTTATATTTCCCTTTATCTCATAGTTATTTTGTTGACATACAAACATATTACAACTTGAAAAGTGACATTTTAGAGTTTTTCATTGTTCATATATGGAATCAAGTCAAAGTGAATTCAAAGTATTTTGCATTTTAGAGTTAACTCATTTTCAGACTTTCAGATTTCATTAGAAAGAAAAACAATCAGGTGCTTGGTTTAAAAGGCAAGTTGAATAAATGAGCAATTACTAGAGCTGATCTGGCATGGGACCCCAGAGGTTTTCTCTAGATCTGAGTGGACAGGCCACTGAAGACCAAGCTTGTTAAATGGCATCTAAGTCAGGTTGGTGAGACAAGAGGAAGAGGGTGTCACATGAGATATATTAAAGCTCTGTCTGTTCTCTATGCCATTGGACAAATGTCACAAATGATCTGCTCACAGAAACACATTGAAACACAACCTATCTTACCCACTTTTTCTCAGAGATTGATAATAAAATGATGGAGGTGGGGTGGGAGGGCTGTGGCATATAGAAATGCAGGTATATGCCATATCATTGGCAGTGTATAGTCTGTTGTTTATACAGGGGTGGGGAAAAGCAGGTGTACAGTTGTGAGTATGCAAAATGAAGTTTATTCTTGCATTACTGTTTATTAATTATTAAATTATTTATTTGTACAATTGTAAGCCTACTTTTGCCCACTCCATAAAAATAGTTACTTGCCTTGAAACATACACATGAGACTTTTTAAAGGTTTCATGAATATCTTAATAATTTAAATAATCATTCCAGGGAGACAAGGGATAAGGTGGAAAGAACACGAGTGAAGGTGAGGGATTCTGAGTCTAAGCCAAGCTCAGCCGTGAGTTGGTGGTGGGCGAACCTCGGAGCAGTCACTTGCCATCACTAGGTCTCTAGACACAGACAGGGTGGGCAATGGCTCTAAAATCCCTTTCTGACCTCCATTTCAAGTTGACCTTTACTTTTCCTTGACAATCTCTATCAGGAAGTTTATGATTTTGGAACAAATAAATAAATACAGCTGGTCAAATTTGGTTTTCCAGAAGCCTGAAGTGAATCTTTTTTTTAATGGTGATAGTGCTTAAAACAGTTACTATAAAGTATTTTGGTTTGCGTGTACAAATTTCAAGGTTTATGATACAGAAGTCTGAAAAAAATTGTATAGGCACTGCTTTGAAAAGTTTTCAATGTTCCATGAATGTACAGTTAGCAATACCACTTCACCACTGTTTCTAAGTATCCTGTCAGTCAGCCATGCCATCCATGCAGGCTAACGACAAACGAAATGGTTTCTGCTCTCAGTGTCGGTATCTATTATTTTACCCAAAACATGGCATTTTCACCGAGCAAGTACTTGTAACTGGAACTCTATGGCTCCTTACATTTCATTTTTATTTTGATTTAATAAGTCTGGCAATTTGAAGTTCAGACAAAATCCCACCCTGACTTTCCTCAGGAAGTGGAAAAGTCTTAATATTTGTTCATCTGGGAAAAAAATGTCCCATGCTCCAAAACACAATGGAACTGGAAACAGATGACGGTCATCTTCCCAGGAGCAGTTAGCATAAGCTAAATATGCTCCCAACACAGCTGACCACTTATAAACACAGCTACTGTCGCACGCAGAAAGCTGTGTTGAGGGCAGTCCATTCATTAGTCTGAAGTGAAAGTCATGGCTGAAGCTAGAGCGGAGGCCATGTGTAAACATCACGCCATCAATGCTGCTCTAATTCGCACAAATATTTAATAAAAGTAATTAAAAGCATTCCATTGTCCTGGTTTCTACTTTTAGACTCAAGAGCTTGAGCGAGGATTAATCTAGTTCTCTCCACTTCAGTAAATATGTGCAGTGAGCATGGAGCGAGCAGGTTTAATAGGGTCCCCATTTGTCCTAAGGAACCACTGCCCTTGTCCCCATTACTCACGGCACAGCCTCCCTGGGCTGGAGCCGTCCGTCCCGAACTTCCTTTGGGTGCTATGATTCATTCTCTTGCCATGATCCTCTGGCTCAGGTTGTGAGGAATGGATATTTTTCTCATTTCTTTCTCAGAGCTGGTCTTAAATGCAGAAAGCATGTTATGACAAAACAAAAATAATAATAACTCAAAGAAACCACTTGATTCCAGAGAAGAGAAATTGGTTAAATGGGAGTTAAATGTCTTTTTTAGCCATTGGTCAGTCAACAGCATTAACAGAAAGCCTACCAAGGCATAGTCTACATGGAATTCTCCTCTCTGTCCAGGCCACCTGCAATGTCACACTTGGGAGAATGGCTGACTGGCTTAGAAGTAACCAAATACAGTCATCCAATAGCCATATTAAAAGGGGTGCATTTATTCATTCATTTAACAAGCATTTATTCAGCATCCATTGTGAGGCAGGGGTGAGGACTAGAAATGAATGACATGATTCACCTCTGAGGTGCTCACTCATAGAGGAAAGACCCACAGCTTCCGCCTGCTATTCATTTATGACAGACAAATAAACAAAGTAATCGAATGTGAACAGTTAACTCAGGGATGTAACCTACAGCACAGGGAATACAGTCAATAATATCATAACTATGTATGGGGACAGCTGGTTCCTAAACTTATTGTGGTGACCACTTTGTAAGGTATATAACTATGGAAACACCATGGTTAGACACCTTAATGTAATATAATTTTGTATTTCAACTATAATTAAAAATAAAATTTCAAAGAATGTGAACAGAATGATAGACCCATGTAAACACGAATATCCAACCTGAGCAATATGTTCACATACTCCTCACTTTTTTCTCTCCCTTGTGTTATGATTTTCCTCATTAGCACTTGGTCATTAGCACTATTGCTACTGGATGTCGTATATTTATTTGTTTATGTTTCATTGCCTGTCTCCCCCAGTAGAAAGTAAGTGCTTAAAGACACAGGGTTTCTTTGATTCACTGGGGTAAACCAGCCCCCAGAACAGAATATCACATCTAGTAGCTGCTCAATAAATATTTGTTGACTAAATAAATGTATGAGTTGATAACCATTATAGCAGTCACTCAAAAAGAAAAAAGGAATGATTATCTGGAAAGATGGGAAGAAATGGTGTTGGGTTATTACAAAAGGCGATTAAATGTTGACAAAGGAAAAGCTGTAAAGTCCATCAGGAATACCTAGCATTAGGCCTGTGGAGTACAGGTAGCTTGATCTGCTTAGCGTCCTTTCCTTATGGAACGGTTCCCATGCTCCTTGTGGCTTGGGTGGGGCAGCCAATCCCAGACAGCAGCTCCCTTGACCACAGAGGAGGGTCCAAACCCAGGCTGGGCCCTCTGATTCTCCTCCTGGACATTTAAACTTTGAGCCACTGTGCTACCAGCAGTAGTATCCCCTCAGAAGCATGGTTCACACGTTCTTGCTTCTGAGACCCCAGCTGTCCTGGTTCCCATCTTCCCAAGTCCCATCTGGTGAGCTCTTCCCTCGGTTCTTTAAGCTATTAATATCCTCCAATAAATATTTTTTTTTCTGGCTCCAGTAGTCTCAGTTTATTTCTGTTGATTACATCCAAAGCTCTCTCTAACCACAGGGGCTGATTAAAAGATGAATGTGGTTTGGAAGGACTCGCAATAAAGCATTTTTATTGAATACCAACCGTGTGCAGGTACTGAGCTAAGCTCTTTAC